ATATATATATTACACACACTTGGTTAGTATGTCGGATGTTGATGCAAATTTTTGTATATGTATATATTATTGCTAGTATATTCAAGAATTGTTTGTATGATAACTTTAGGTAATTTTTTGCTAGTAAATGTTTCTATTAAGTGTAGACATCATGTTGGATTGTTACACTAAAGCTATAATTAATAAATACGTACTTCATGTGAATATATTTTATTGTTTAGAAGAAATTATACTTGTTTTTTTTTTAATTCAAGTAGGTTATAATTATTAACTAATTTGACATAAAATCATTTTAAATATATTTTTATTTAATTAAAAGGTCACATTTTAAATCATTAAAACAACTTATTAAAATAAATACTACTAATATTAATTATGTTTATTAAATTATTTTTATAATATTTTAAAATTGTATATTTATTAGTTTATCTAAAAGATTAAACATAATTTACATAAGGATTTAAATACATTAATTTATATAAACTTAATATTTTAACTTATTTTAAAAATTTACTAAACAATAAATCTTTGAATAAACTTGGAAGTCAAACTCAACTTTTAAAAGAACAAACTATGCCCCCAAAAATTCAATATTACACACTAGATTCATATAATAAATTTAAGACTAAATTGTATTATAATATCAAGTTTATAATTTTATTTTTTTAATTTTATAAAATCAACAAGTTTGATCCTTTTATTGAATGTTTATTGATTGATCATTAAAATTATAAAATTTATTGTGATCTAATAATATATAAAAGACACAATAATTAATATTTAATAATACGTAAGATAAATTATACTTTTAATTCTCATATTCATCTCATTTTCATATCAATTTAAACATTAATTATTATGTCATATACTTGATGAGATAAAAGTAAAATTTAACTTGAAAATTGTTAAATCTTAATTGTTATGTCATATACTTAATGTTAAATCATGATTAATGTTACAATTTTAGCAATCAAAAATGAAAATTTAATGAGAGGATCAAAATTATAAATTTTATAAAATTGAGAGGCTAAAATTGTAGATTTAAAACTAGAGGGAATGAAATTGTGAATGTGATATTATAGAAGGACTAAAAGTACATTTTAGCCTAAATTTAAAGTAAATATATTATATTTTGATTTAATTTGAAAAAGATTTATATTACATGTTATATTATAATTTTTTTTAGAATTTTTTTAATTTTTGAAACACATTGCAACGAACCAACAGGTTACTATACTTTATTGTTAGGCAACTAAGCAACGAAAACATAAAGAATTCAATTATGCTAGAGTTATCATGCAATAGTACTTGAACATTCATTTAACATATATATGTATATGGTGCAGAAAACATAAAAACATCTCTTACCAATTTTGATCTAAAAACATAATGCCCCTTATGGGTTTACAACAAAACCCTGTACATATATATAAATATACATGTAGTATTTAAAAACATAAAGAACCTAGTATTAGTCAAACGTCTCTAAAATCCAATATTGTATCAAAACAACTAAACAAAATAAGGTCATTTCCAACATGGTCATCTACCAAGCATGCCCTCTACCTAATATTATCCTGCTTCCATAACAAGTATAGTCATTACAGTCCAATAACATGGAAAAGTTACGATAAACTTGTAATTAAGAAAACAACATAGTATAGAAGCAATAAGTTAGTTATACCAACAAACTTAATCAACACAACATAATACCAATCCAAGGCCCAATTTAGCAACACAAAACAATCATATGAACACATTCTCTCAACTTACAAAACCACTATACAACTTACTAGCATACCACTTTAGCAACTTTTCAACATATCAACTCAATGTAAGAACAACATAGCTTCTCAACACAATTTATGAACAAGACAATATTTGCAACACAACACAACTTAGCAACATAACAACTTAAACAACACCACAAATATTCACCATTTTTTTTTGTATTGAAATGGATGCATTTGTTCGTTACTTAACGCTGTAAATCATTTTCATTGTTTAAAAGTTTTATTCCTTTTTTTTTCTAAGCAAAATTGAATTAAATAAGAGGAATACAAGGGGTACTCCAACCCATATACAAAACATAACCAAAGTAGTGCACCTCTGACATCAGGAGGTGTTTAATGAAAACAACACAATAACTACATATCTCCTAAAATCAATTTTCAAACATCATACAATAAAAGACCTTGCACTAATAGGTGGAACAACCAAACTAGCAATCCAAAAAAAGACTATCATCTACAAAGTGAAACCAATCAGCATTGTCAAAAGCATTGCCGCAATTAAGTCGGAATCTCACACCCAGATAGTAATAATCACCAACAAAATCACTTAATAAAAGTTAAGGCATAAGAAATGGGACTCAGCCCAAGAAGAAAATGAGTATGAAAAAGAATTATCTCTCGCTTTTCACCATTTCCAAGTGCGCAGTTTTACCAATTCAAGCACATCTAAAGTAGATAGCAGCTTGTTAGAAAAAATAAGAGTATTTCTTGCTAGCCAGATACTCCAGATTACAGTCAACCAGATCACCACTCATCTATACCTCATTTTGGAAGGACAGAGAGGCAGTCCAAAAAATTGATTAAAAGTTTTATTCCTTGAATTACCAACAATGTTAGGGAATATAATTATTATTACTTAAAATCATTTAATTTAATAACTATATTTAGAATAAAATTTAAATTTATAATATTGTTAATTAAAATGTCTTATTCGACGAATTTTTTTGGAATAAGTAATAATTTTCTTTTATACCTTTAATATTTTTTAGAATTCTATTAATGAAATATTCACCCTTTTTTTTTTATCGAATTAGATGCATTTGTTGGTCGATTATATAAATCATTTTCATTGTTCAAAAATTGTATTCGTTGAATTACAAACAATGCTGATTAGAAAATGTAATTATGACTTAAGACCATTTAATTTAATAAGTATTTGCATAATAAAATTTAAATTTATATATTTTAAATTAACTTTTTTTATATATATTTTATTATTTTATGAATTTTGATTAATAGAATATATATTCTTTTTTAATGAGATCAGAATTAGTATTAAAAAATAATATATCTATTTTTTTTTAAAGTTATCTTAAAGAAACAAAGAGAGTCTTAAAACATTGGTGAAAAAAAAAAAAAAAAAAAGAGAGAGAGAGAGAGAGAGAAACGTACGCTAAGGAATGAAAATTAAAAGCGAACTTGATTTCAGGAATTCGAAACAATGAAACGTCACACTGGTGCAGGCACAGCAGTTAAGCGTTACATAATTTTTAAACACAATCCAACGGTAAGAAAGAAATCACAATGCAAGTTAAGCGTTTCAAATTCAAACACGTGTCCCTATGGACCACACACGTAAAACATGAACTCAGGATCAGTTTCGAGTCGCGCCATCGTGTCGGGCGCCAAAATCATCTCCAAATCGACGGCGCCGCCGCCACTCCGCCCGGGAAAGGCCGACATCTTGCCGTCGAACTTGTTGGCTCCGCCGCTCCGCACGGCCAACGGGCGCCCCCAGCCGAAGTCGTTGTCGTACATCGGGAATCTCGGCGAGCTACCCATCTGGACGGTGGCGCCGTCTTTGTTTCCCAACGCAAAGACCTTGGGCTGGCGCTCCCAATCCTCCACGGCGCGCCGCACCATAGCGCTGTCGTACGCCCTCACGCTTTTGTTCAGCAGCTCCGCGCTCCACCGAAGGTCCCTCGACGCCACGTCACCCGCGGATGCATACGTGGCAATGCTCTGAATCGCGTTCCCAAAGTAATTCTCCCCCAACTTGGGCTCCATCCGCTGCCGAACGTTAACCGCCATTCTAAACGTCGTCGTTTTCGTCCCCTCCAGATTCCTCGCACGCGTCACGCACCGCCACACCAGCGCGCAGAGCGACTGAAACGACGAAATCTCCACCGTTTCATCTGGCGCAACGCTTTTCACCTGCTTGTCGCTGCTCCACTTGGCCAGCACCTCAACAGCCTCAACGTTCTCCGGTAAACTCCGGCCACTGTTCACCCTCGCTTTCAGCTGCTGAATAGATTCTCGCTTGAAGCTGAAGATTCTCTCGCGAATCGGCTCCTCCGCGTTGAAGCTCACCTTCATGTCTAGTACAACAAAAATTTAACCAGTTTTAGTTCTGGATATATTAAATATTTAATAATAGAAAAACTTTTGTAATCATGAACGATGATTGATGACCTTTGGGCAACTGAAGCAGGACTTTGGAAGAGAGAATGGAGTCGCGGCGGAAGTCCGGGAGGGAGGAGGGAGACGTGGCGGCACCTCGGGAGATTTTGGCGAAGGTGTTGTAGAAGTTCCAGAAGGAGGCGCCGTCGGTGACGGCGTGGCAGACGGCGCAGCCGATGAAGAGGCCGTCAGCGAGCTGGGTGAGCTGGACGGCCATGATGGGAGAGGAGTGAGCGGCGTAGCTGATTGTGTGGTGGAAGGGGAAGAGTTTCTGGAAGATAGGGTTGACGTCGGGAGGGGAGAGGAGGTCGGAGACGGAGACGTCTGCGGCGGAGGCGTGGATGAAGTCGACGCCGGCGTCGTTGCATGCGACGTAGACGTGGGCGTCTGCGTGTGTGACGAGGCGGCCGGCGAAGGGGGGGAAGAGGGAGAGCGTTTTGGAGAGGGCGTGGATGAGATGAGGGATGAGAGTGTGGGTGGGAAGTTGAGGGGCTGTGAAGAGGCATCCCTTCTGGATGTAGTGAGAGCATAGCATGTTAAGGTCTGACATGGAGAGTTTTAGGTCTCCGAGAGTGGATTTTTGGTGAGGAACTACACTGCATTTTGAGATCACACTCACTGCGGAAGCCATTTTTCTACCTCCTTTTCACGCTTCGTGTGTCCTCTTTATATATACAGGCCTCCCCGCTCTCTTCCTTCATGCTACATTACATTATCGTCACCTTCCTCGGAAATTTTTATTACAGATTTTAATGTAAATACTATGGTCTATTTAGTATTATCTCAAACTCCGTAATGTTCATTTCTTAAACTTACTTTCACTTGATGAATAAGATTTCAAGTTTGAGTTTTGAGTCTGGATAATTGATTATATCATAGGCGAAGATGTTAATAAATTAAATTATTGAATAAATATGATTTTTTTTTCAGAAAACATTAAATAACTAATGTATTATTTATTATTTTTTCAATAATTAATTTTTATAAAAAAAAATTAACTAACCATTATCGATTGAACTTTTCTTTTATTAGCATTTTTTTATTCACTAGATTTTACATTATATTAAAGTTTTGAATTTATTTATACTCAAATTAACTATTTGTTAATTATATATATTATTATGTATTAATTGGTAATCACTGATCTTTTTACTATTTAAAATTTCATGCAATTTTTGGTAGATATTCGTATGGTAAGTCTCACGTCAAGGAATTTATTGTGCATGTTGATCAAAATTGATTCAGGAATAATATCAGATAATTTTTCTTTAAATGAACAATTTTATCCTAAAATTTACTATTAGCTTATTTTTACATAAATTATTTTACTTCAAAATAATTTCAAGAAATCAATTTTACTATTATTCAATCAAACACACTCGTAATCATGTCTGATCATGAGCATAGTTCAAAGGGGCAGAATCTGAAGGGTCCAAAAACATGTTAACTTCAATAATTTTTTTAAAAGAAAAAAGAAAAACTGATGCAATATTAGCTTAACAATTCCTATTTTCCAAATCAACAAATCCAACCTCATATAATAACTAAATATTCTAGTTAATTATTCAATAATGACGGCTACATCACAAGTCATAACAATAGACTTCTTTAACAAAGGGCATTTTTCTATTATAAAAAGCATCTTAGGGATCCAAGGATATTTAATCTTCTAGTATTATTTTTGATTGAGATCCAAAGTTCATTTATAGGTTCTAACAGAGTTTGCACCAAACTCTAAAAGAAGGTTGAGGTTAAGTTTTACTTATTATCCACAAATGGATATGGACAATTGGAGAGAATTATTTAATCATTGGAGGACTTATTGAGAGTTTATATTCTAGATCATCTGGGTAGTTGGGGAAAAGTGTTACCTCTTATAAAATTTACTTACAATAACAGTTTTCATGTTAGTATTAGCATAACACCTTTTAAAGCTTTTTGTATGAGAGAATGTGCAGGACTCTTTTGTGCTAGTACAAGGAGGGTGAGTCGATTGTTGTTGGGCTAGAGTTAGTTCTCTAAACTACTAATAAAGGTGAAGATGATATAGGAAAGATTGAGAACTACCTAGAGTAGGTAGAAATCTTATGTTAATAGAAGGAGAAAGCTCTTGGAATTTAAGGAAGGGGAGCATGTGTTTTTTAAGGTGAGACTCATTACTGGAGTGGAAGGGCAGTGAGGTCCAAGAAGGTGACGTTGAGGTTTATCAGTCCTTACCAGATCCTTTGTCGTATAAGTCTGAAGGCTTATCAGTTGGCGTTGCCACCATCTCTATCCAACCTACATGATGTATTTCATGTCTCCCAGTTGAGGAAGTATGTGCACGATCCTAGCAATGTGGTGGAATATGATGAGGTGCAAGTGAAGGAGAATGTCGCTTATGTGAAGCAATCGACTACAATTATAGATCATATAATTAGGTGAAGCAGTTGAGGGCAAAACCATCAGCTTTGTCAAGGGTGTTTGGGATATGGTCACTAGTAAGGTTACATGGAAGATGGAGGATAAGATTTGAGATCAATATCCATGGCCTATCCCATGTAAGTATATTTTCAGGGGTGAAAATTCTTATTGCTGGGGAGAATTGCAACAATGTACTATGTTTCGTTAATTATTATTTTTCCGTCAATAATTATGTGTTGTGGTGTTTTGGTGTTTATTATTGAGAAACTTTGAGAGTTAAGTAATTCTCATGAGCATGAGGAGAGAGAATTGTCTCTAATTTAGTCATGTTAGACGTAGGAATGACAAATAAACTCATACTCGTAGGTAATACCCAAACCCATCCTGACTTTGACGAGAAATACTCAGCTTGATCAGGTACGGGTACGGGTAAAATCTGAAATATTAAACCGGGAACGGGGACGAGGTGGGTAACCCCGGTTTAATACCGTCCCCATCCCAATCCTTGGTTTAATATCTGTCCCCAATTTGATTATTTTAAATAATTTTAATATTTAATTATGGGTGATTGTGTATTATGACTTGAAATATTTGTGGTTGTTTAATTACTAAGAAGTTTCTTGATTAAAATATGAGATAGACAAATAACCTAATTACAATTGTAATATAATGAAAAGATAAACTAAAAATATTGTGTGTGTTTTTTTGCAAATTTTTTTTTATATTAATTTTGATAGGTACCAATACGAGTATACCCAATATTCGACGAGGATGGGGATGAGACGAAAATTACATACTCGACGAGTACGGGGATGGGGATAGGGATGAATTTGAATCGCAGGGACGGGGAGGGATATCATGAAACCTATACCTGACTCGCCTTGTTGCCATGCCTAGTTAGACGTTAAGTTAAATTGCATCAGGCGTGATAAGAGAATCGTCACTGCTTGGATTGACACTAGGTTTCAATGGAGTGACATTAAGCAAAAGCCCTTTGTCTGAAATGGGGTCGGGCGTGGATTTTGTCACACTAGGCATGGGAATTCAAGGGTTTTCTAGCTTATCCACACTAGCTGCAGGTTGAATGGTGTTGGGCATGGGCGAGGTAGAGAGTTCCTTGTCTCGATGGCACCAGCGAAAGGCATATGGAGCCGATAGTGGTTTACTTTAAAAAATCTTGTTTGTTTGATTACATGGTGAACATGGATAGGTTAGGCAATCTATTACATGTTGTATGTTGATAGGTGTTGTTGGTTCTATGTATATTGATATGAGATAGTATACATAGATGGTTATATTATTGACCTATTGAGGTGTTGATATTGATAATGCTTTAGGCATTTGAGCATGTTGATTAACTTAGGACTAGAGGAGAAGGTATTTTTGAAAGTTGGATATCCTATAGTGTTTGGTGTGGTGTTCTATAAACCTAATTATTGAAAAAATTTCATTGAGTAAACGTTATCTCTTAGAGTGGATTTTTGAGTCTCCTCTAAGTCTTCATTTAATGTTTGAGTAAGGTATCATGAGGATAGTTAGTGGGATGAATTCAAAGGTGACTTGGTTAATGCATGTCAATGTCGTGATAGGTCCATACCCAAACTATGTTATACTTGAGGATAGTATTGAACTTTCCTAATTTAAGTAACAACATCTGAGAAATCATGTTGTAGGGATTGGTATCCCAATTGACTATCGATCTAACATGTGTAAGTCTCCTCTAAGTCTTCATTTAATGTTTGAGTAAGGTATCATGAGGATAGTTAGTGGGATGAATTCAAAGGTGACTTGGTTAATGCATGTCAATGTCGTGATAGGTCCATACCCAAACTATGTTATACTTGAGGATAGTATTGAACTTTCCTAATTTAAGTAACAACATCTGAGAAATCATGTTGTAGGGATTGGTATCCCAATTGACTATCGATCTAACATGTGTAAGTCTCCTCTAAGTCTTCATTTAATGTTTGAGTAAGGTATCATGAGGATAGTTAGTGGGATGAATTCAAAGGTGACTTGGTTAATGCATGTCAATGTCGTGATAGGTCCATACCCAAACTATGTTATACTTGAGGATAGTATTGAACTTTCCTAATTTAAGTAACAACATCTGAGAAATCATGTTGTAGGGATTGGTATCCCAATTGACTATCGATCTAACATGTGTAAATAGATCAAGCCCCTTAGATTGCTCATCTTGGTTGTAGGAGATCTCCATAAGTGAATGCATGACGATACATGTAATTGAGGTGTATGCATATGATGTGGTGTGATTTGTAGTTGTTCATATGCTTTGATGATTACATTGTTAAATGACATGGATGTGGTGAAATATGTTGTAAGTTGCTTACTTTTGTAAGGTTGTTGAATGCGTGTTGAGATGTTTGTTGGTTGTCATGTTGTAGAACATGAGGTGATACATGTTGGTATTTGTAGTATAATGTTTACTTTTATACTTGTATATGTTCGTTCTTTTGAACACTAGTTTACCCTTGCATATTTTTCTGGTGGTTAGAGTACAATGATCACGTTTACATAGAAACAAGACAAGGTTAGACATGAGGCTTTTTGAGCGGTGAGAGTCATGCTTTTGGCATGTAGCTTAATGTTAATGTTGTTGGTAGTTTTTGATTGACTAACAACTTAGAATTTTTATTTTATAATGTCAGATTATTGTACATATGTATGTGTGCGTGTGTGTGTATATATATATGTGTGTGTATATATATATATATATACTATGGTGCAAATATCCAGGTATTGTGTTTATATTAACCTTAGGTAATTAGTTGTTTTTATTACTAGTCATTGATTCCGTTAAGTGTAGGATCACAACGAGTTGTTACAACTCAACATTTAATCAACGAAACATAAATATAATTACTTAGAATTATCATGCAAATAGTTATTAGATAAACATGCATCAATATATATGTAGAGGAAATAATCAACTACAAACATAAAGGTCCTTTAGTGGGACTAACAAAATCCTATACATACACACACACATAAAATAATAATCCAGAATTGTAAACATAAAGCCTAAGTAATCAATCAAGCAACTATCATATAAGTTGTGTCATAATAGCCACCAAAACAACACTATTATCTCTAAAATGGTAGTTAAAAGGTCTAGCTCGTCCTTTAACCTAATCCTACTCTATTCCCATAATAATATGATCATCACAGTCCAACAACAAAAGAATGTTAGGGTAAACTTATACGTAACAAATTAACACATAATATATAAGTAAGATACAACTATAACAACAACTTCA